GGTAAAACTACTAGCAATTGGCTTTCGTTGTGCTGTAGATACTGTATACTTCGGCATTAATTTCACCGCTGTTTCTTATCTAATCAGTATGAACTTTTTCATGGATCAGGGAGGCGCCTTGATGGCGCCACAGTCTACTGTGACGTTAAATCGCGCGCACCAGCCACAGATGGGATCGCTACTCCAATTAATTTCGTCGCCCGTCACTCACGTCGCTCGGTCCCCTGCTACTGTGCAGAACACAAGAGCTGTTCACTGAGCTCGCTGTTAATTGCTTTTAGAGCGTTTAACAAGGCCACCACATCAATTAAGGACGAGGTGAACAACAAACTAAAAGTAAGGAGATCAACAGGTAGTTCCTAAAGCAGTTCCACAAGCATTTAATTTGTAAGATAATTCGCATGCATTCAAAGCTATTTTCAACACTTTTTAACCCGTAAGACTGTTTGCTTTGTGACCATATTTAGATAACTGCAGGCGGCACAGATGGTAGCGGCGGTGGCGGCGGTGGCGGCAGTAGCGGAGATGGCGGCGGTGGCGGCGGCGGCGGCGGCAGCGGAGATGGCGGCGGTGGCGGTGGCGACGGTGGCAGTGTGGCGGCGGTGGCGGCGCTGGGGGTGAACAGAATGCCAACGCGTCTGCCTCCCGTCGCTAGTGGGCAGTTTGGGGCTGGCAATCGTAAAATTATTTTTATTTGTGGTTTCCAGGTACATAACAATTGTTAGATACACGACCAGAATACTAAATAGTTTTGCTAAGTATAATGATCAAGCCCTAGCAATAGCATTGAATGCAAGATTAAATGCAGGTTATCATAAACATTGACAATTGACAACAAATACTTATTTATTCATTTATTTATTCATTTCTCATAAGCAATCCACAGGTTTAATAGGTGCACAGCTACCGATGCAGTCAATAAGTTAAAAACAATAAGCACACACATGCAAACACAAAAACACACACACTATCACGCTTGCATCACCTTGCACAGCTACTCAAGTGCTTTGTCGAGTAGATCAACCGGGTGAACGTGTCCACACTGCTGGCAGACTTGCGTGCATGGGAACGAAATGGCAGCGTTGGCAGTACACGCGCAGAGTCCTCAACCTGTCTGCCGGCCCTGGGTTCAACTCTATGTCGCCGGAGAGGAGAAAACTCGCCAGCAGCACCAGGTCGGCTCGATCGGCCGGCAACGATGTCGCAGAATCGACGGGGACAGACCCGGCCCGAACTCCAAAACAGTGCCGGTGATGCCGATATCATCCCCCAGGCACGCCTCGCAGATGACTTCACATGCCATCAAAACCATGGTGATCATCAGCGGAACTAAAAACCCCGCTTTCGGTGGGATTCGAACGCGCATCCATCTCGCTCTCGACACCGCCAATAGCACAAACCGAAGCAGCAGATACGCTGACCATTCGGCTACCTAGGCGCGCGGTAGCTGGGGCACCGAGCTCTGAACCGAGCTGCGCGCTCTCGCTGACCTGGCAGGAGGGCCGGCGGCCGTACTATCACGGGGACACCCTTGCCCACTGCCCGACAATAATTCCTCGTGTCGGGAGTGTACAGATATATGTACAAATGTGTGTACAAGCATCTTCTTCACGGAGGGTCACGGGCGCCACAGTAGGTTTCATCTTGATCGGACACGATCGTCAGCACAGCTGAGCAGTGGGCAGCTGGTGTGGTATGCCGTCTCTTAATGTTGAAATCTATTGTCGGAAGCGGGTCCGAGCGTACTGTTTCAAACGATTTCCATGCATCGAGCTCGCCAACGGATGTATCTTGCTACACAATACAGGCTGCCGCCCTCGTCTAACTAATTCGACGTCAGCCCGTATGTACAACCTAGGGAATTTGGTTTACGCCTGCCGGGGAAGAGAAGGACAGTTTTATGGACTGGGGGGGAGGGGGAGGGGGAGGCAGGAGGAGGACAGATTCACAAAACCATATCGAGTGGGTGGTGATGACAATTGTCTGCATCTGATGCACATCAGATGCTTTGTAAATCCTGTAAGGCCACAGTGCCATGAGCGGCTCCATTTAGCTCGGTGAGCAATCTCGGGACGCCACCGCCAGGGCGCAGCAAAAGCGTCGGTCTGTGCGGACGCCACGGGTTCGGGCGTGCCGTTTGAAATGGTTTCATGTAAGCAGGGTTCTTGCGCTCTGTTGTGAGCTACACCCGGGTTGTGTTCCGGCGTTGCAGACGCCAGAGAGTGTCCGAAGTTGTGAGCCGGCTGTCGGGACGCTCAGTGCCAGGGATGCCTGAGGTGGGCCGAAGATGTTGGGGCTAAGCGGGCTTCGGTCTTTTGGGCGCATGTCTGCCTTGTAGTTCCAAGACAGTTGTAGGCGGCGTCGCACCGCACATTTCTTACATGCATGAAGTCTCCCCCACCCTGCACGGCATCAGTAGGACGCTTTAACGCGGTCATGTTACAAATCTGACTGAAACTTGGCTTCAGGGGCTTTCTGATGCGAAGAATACACCTGACACGATACCATTGTGTCATGAAATATGCCTGTGGTGTTTTTACATCTTGAGATAACATTTTTATATTCTTAGCACATAAACACTAATAACACACACACACACGAAATATAATCAGCGTATATGATTTCGAGATGTAAAACATTCAAACAGAGAAGCTCACTTAGGTCATTTTGAAAAAGAGACATAACGACCGAGGTCAAAGGCCTTCATGTTGGCTTTGAATGATCACCGTTCTTTACTTTTTATCCTGCAGAAAAAACCTCTCGTGTATTGTCTTTCCAAAACAAAAATAATATCTGGGGACACTAGCATGTAGTGACTAGTGATAGCGCGGAAATGGTTGACATCCGAGAAAACAATGAAAAGGTTAAACCCAGCACAGCATGGAAATCATGGGAATCAACGACCCCATGACGGTACAAACTGACGCCCAAGTCGGTCAAATCTCGTAACGTTTTCACCCCATAGCATGCCCTTGGTTTGGCAGACATTGAATACCCGTGTCTTAGTTTTGCATAGACTGGACGGTCAGCATTACAAGATATGCAATATCCTTTAAATAAATCATTTCATTGCGGATTTTGAATTGCCTGCACTTCTAGAAATCTTGCGTCTTGGTTATGTAAGAAGCGACGTAAACTTTATACCAGGAAGATGCCCTAACTTTACTTGGAAATGGCCGAGCTGAACCCTATTTTCAGGCGTCTTGCTCGAAGTCTTGAAAACTCGTGACTTCATTGTCAACTCGTAGTCAACGCGAGGCCGGTATATGAGTGCGGGCCTTTGGCACTGACGAAAACGGGTCATTTTGCACGGAGGGACGTATGGGACGAATACGAGTTAAGTGTTGCAAAATGGGCTAATGCTTTGGAGAAATATTGCTGTCCATATACCAGGCTCAAAGTCTGTGTCTTGCATAGCCACAGAACTGCCTGGTGTTGATGTCAGCGCGATGTATTTGAAAAAGTTTTCGAAAAAATATCGGTCGGCTGCTGGCCCAGTTAACCCGACTGCTAGGTGATACACCTGAGCATCTGACTCACGTGTTTCGGCCGCAACAATCAGCTCCCTCGAAGGAATTATGTCAGCTGCGCTAACAAGTATAGAGGCCAACAGAACAGCCAGTAGCCCGGCGGGTGCTCGGTCACACGGCTGCGTGGAAGGACACCAGGCACGCAAGTCCTGGCGCCACTCCCGCAGGTCAGGCTAGCCGGCCCAGTGCCGGACGAGGGCAGGCCAGATCACCTGCCCTCCTCCCACAGTTTAGCAGAGCCGAATCCAGCAAAGGGTGGAGGGGCGGGGGGCGACCAAAAGTCGCGTTTCTCATTTGTAAACATATCGTGAGTCGAAGACATTCCACTGCTGCGCTCTGACCGCGGGGCCCGGGAAGCACCGGTGTTTAGCCAGCGTGCCGACCGTGACCTTGGGGCCACCCATAAGGAACTACTAATGGTGGGTGTGTCGGAGGCGCCAGATGCAAGGCATCTGCACTTGCGCGCTCGCGGTTTGACTGCACCGCAGTTAAATACGCCTGTGCCAGGGCTTTAGTTTTCTATTCATTTGGAACTGTATACTCCCTCCTCTATCTTTGGCTCCAGTCTCAACATTAAAAAAGCCCATAGCGGTGACTAGCCCGCAAACTAGCGCATTTCGGAGGTAGGTTTTGTCACTTTCTCTGTGAAGCCATCGACTCGTTTTGCAAAATTCCGCTACTGGTCGGTGCTGAGGAGCCGCTTCAAAAGGGCGCAGGATTCCGACCGCCATGCGGTAGCCTGCTGGTGTTAAGTGCAGCAGTCAGTCACTTGGACGTTCTTTTTCATGCCATCTTTGCTGACGTGTGCCAAGACGCAGGAACGCATTACTTTATGGTACAGGTATCCACTGGTTGTAAAATTCCCAGGGGCGCAAGACGCGTCCGAAGTGCTCCGCTGCTGTCTCTGCTCTTCCGTGCGGGGCCCCTCTCGGCCATGCTCTTCTCTTTGACAGTAGCCTTACCTCTGAGGTAACGAGGGTGTCTTCCCTTTCAGGTTACGGGGCGCCTTCCAGAGGCCTCCGGCTGGACGGGCTCGGGGCCCCCAACACTCACCCCCTCCTGCCCCGCCCTAACTGCGTCGCCTGCGGGCAGAGCTACACACCCATACCAACGCTGAGTTTGCATGGCTCTGAAGTGATACGACAAGGGAGAGCGCTGCACAGGTTTCACTCCTTAAAACATGAAAAACAAGTTTGGGCGGCACGCGATCAACTTCTGATCAACAGGGATCTGAGTAGCGTTCCTCTGGGGTGATCAGCCGGTCTGCCGGCAGAAGCAGCGGGTTGGTCCGACTCTCGCGCGCCGCCGGGAGTCTGCCGGCCCGGTGGTCAGTCCAGCCTCGCGCCAGTGGGCGGGCACCGGCTGGCAGGAGGCGCTCGGAGAGTGGGCCAGCCCGCGCCCGCGGCGCCCCACCAGCGGGCCAGCCCGAGCCGGAGGTCCGGCTTCGGACTGCGGTAGTCGGGCCACCGCGATGCTGCAGAACGGTGCCGTGCGCGCGCTGGCCGTGCTGGCGGCCGGCCTGGTGGTCGTGTCCGGGGCCGACGGACAGGAAGGTGCGTACAGTCGCGGTGCAGCATCCGACGCTGCGCTGCTAGAGAATCCGAGTGTTGCGCTGTGCGGGAGCGAGTGCGGTGATGGTGTGCTTCTTCCAACGTTCATGGAAAGGAATTGACATGACATTGAAAAAAATCGCTTTGCATGCTTATACATCAACGTTGCTCCGGAAAGACCATAAAAGCGCACTTACTGCATGCACCGATCGATCATTTGTTCACCGACGCTCACGTTGAACGCCATCTATTGCCATCAGTTGGAACTGCGCCACTGCGTGCCCCGCAATGGCGTATGTGACGTGGCTAATCGCTTAAGATCCTTAAGGTCCAAATTAATCGCTTAAGGTCCAACCTTGCATGCGGGGCGGCAAGTAGAACTCTGAACAGCGGCCACACGGTACCGTTGCCGGCGTTATTTTAACAAGGAGGGCCTCGTTACGACAATGGTGACAAATCAGCATCCCAATGTCATCATCCAAAACAAGCTGCGCTGCTCTCATGTTGCGACAGGACGGACTACACAAAATCTGACCGTATTGCTCGCTGGTCCGTTCAATTTTCACGTGAAAACCTCCGGTTGCTAAACACAGTTTGTTAGATGCACGAACCGTTCATTATGAAATGATGAAATGATCAATGATTGAGTTTATTTAAAATGGTCATTTTCAGCAACTCCTTCCATATTCACGACCCTCGGCACTGCTTCGGTTTCACTGCGTGTCTGGGAGATCAGGCAGGCGCGGGGCCCGATTCTCAGCGGTGCTAGTTGTCGTGGCTAGGTGAGAGACAAGTGACGGCATAGGAATGTACTGCCAGTTGAATATGAAATCCCCGGAAATAACAATTGTCACTCGCACACCGTCATGAATTCCAGCAACAGTTCGGTTTTCTGGGGAAAAGTGCATGCGTCATCCCTGAGGGTGTCTGAACTCCGCTAACGGCAGCCCCGCCCCAGCGGCCGCACATGTGCCTCAGCGTGTCCATGTATGTGGAACGTCCCGGCAACCAATCTTTCCCCCAAATGTTTGTAATGTTGCCCCAACACTCCCTACTCTCGTTAATTATATTACCCTGAGATGCTGGTTACTGGCCGAAAGGGTTCTTACCCAAATCAAGCCCCAAATTATGATGACGTGCGCGACAGTAGCCTTGCAAACACAGGACTGCTCGTCAGTCGGTAGTCGGCCCCCTTTCAACAGATCTGCTCCACGGATACGAGTCCGCCCACTGCAGTGCTGAACGCTGTCCCTTCCCTCTCTCTGAGACATGGCTTTGAACTGACATTCATCCTTGCAATCTAGCGATATCTTTCAACTGATCAAAGTACCAACCTCGAAACGGCCTAAGTCTTGTCCGTATATCTTTCCTTCAGGCATACTACATGGAAGTCAATCACCGGGCTCTGAGCACTTTTACTCAGATACGATCGGCACAGCCTCGCTGATTCAGAATTAAAAGAAGTGGTTGAGTTCGCACTTGAATTTCATAGTTCCCTATCCCGTGGAGGATCAACATATTTGAGTGGCATCTCGTGACAAGTTCACGGTGTGTGTCGTTGCCAAAAGACGTTTGTGTTATGGCCACGTGGCTAATTGAGAGTTCAGTGTTGGCTGCCGTTCTTCGTAACATCTGCAATGCCGTGTAGCCTTTAAGCATTTTAAGATCATAGTTAGACTGATTTCCCCCTCCTGCACTCACATCTTGAGCCCGTCTATCCGGTATTATCCGTATCTATACACATGCTAGACGAGTAAACGTGACAAAAACACGATGAAGCATCGCACCCTTTGTTTTCATATAGCATTAGAACTGCGCTGGTAAGGCTCCGTGGAGCTTTTGCCAAAGTACCGTTGACGAACTGCCGGGCAGAATGACTGCGAAAAGAGAGCATGCATCATAGAGACGCAACTGACATCCATTTCGGTTCACGTGTACGCCATGTTTGGTGATACAAACTTTTTGTTGAGCTTGGTCAGGATAAGAATTGAGAGCCCTTTCCGCCAACAACGACCATTCCAGAACCATAGGAGAATGGAGATTGGTTGGACGAGGCCGCATGCATCTAAGCATCTTCCGCCACCAAAACTTACCCAGCACAGGGACCCCCGTTCGAGGTTTGTGCGGGCGGTTGCGAGAAGCTCTCGCTATGGCGCACTTAGTCCCTCTTCCTGACTCCGCCTCTGACTGATGCATGCAGCTTGCGCGGATAGACGTGCGCTGCAGGAATTTGGGATGAGGCGTGACCGAGGAAAAGAGAGGAACGTAACGAGAGTCGTTCACACAAGTAACAAACACCGTCAGCCAAACACCGTGTTTTGATGGTGCGCAGCACGCACGGAAATGGTGTGATATGTTGCGTTTATTTCGAGCATCACTATTAAAGCCTATTACAGTAATATTTCGGCGAAACAAGATACTGCAACGTCGTTGTTTAGGGCATTTGTGAGAAACATCAGGCATATAGATAAGACAGTACTAATATCCTCATTCCTTGTAGAATAACTAGGAGAATGGATAGAGAGATGGATTGATATTTCGGCTACGTCCTTTGTCGAAATGAATATCAGTAGTCACTACTACTGAATCATCTATGAGATCACTGATAGTATTCGTTTCGACAAAGACACGTATCCGCAACATCATTCCATATATCTCTCCATTCTGCTGGCTATTCTACGAGAATGCAGTTATTAGTGCTTTCTTATCAAGCAACTGTCACCATTGTCACCGCTGTCAAAACAAGAATCGCCTCAGCAGACCGGCAGCCTGCACCACACCGGTCGTCGCGCTGCACTGCTGCGCACGGTTACCCGTCCCAGCTTAGTTCGCGTCATTTTCGACCTACGCGTCTTCAGTGTGCTTGCTGGCGTGACGTTATTGCTTCCATCAGGCGGAAAATAATCGCTCAGTGGAATAGCATCGTACTCGGAATGACGGGGTTTCGACGTCAAACGAAAACTAACAAGGCATGTGTTTGATGTTCGATCGAATTTTTTTACTTTTCGTACATTACGTAACCCTTTGGCTAAACCCTTGCCTAAACCTACACCCTTCGTAACTTTAAGAAAATGATCGAAATCAGCACAACTCAGTTATACTATCATGCGCCTCTTGCCCCCGCTTGCCACAGTTATTGACTCCTAGCTGGTATCTCCAAGTTTGAAACACTGGCTGTGAGATGCCTCCGCGCATGAATCAGTTCACATTCATGGTGTGGCATGCTAGGTCTTGACGTGAGCCAACACAATGAATATGCCACTGTAGCGCCGAAAGGAATGGGTATGAGATTCAGGGTCAATGGGTCTGCGCATGATAGGCCATTTAATTTGGTTTTCATTTGCAGCACATCATTGCAGCATAGACGTTGCAAAAACACACGGCAGGAAACATGTCGAATAGTAGGACGCAGCCGCGCCAAATTTGAGCTTGAGGCAATTGAAAAGCCACATCTTTTGGCAGTGACCTGTTGACCTGTTGACCTGGCTTGTTGCTTAAAACACGCTTTCAGGTTGTTTCCCTTACACTGTCCATTTTAACAGCGCAATAAAAGATACTAAAGACAGGCCAAGCACGCGCTAGATGGCTATCGTTGAAAATTGTCGGGCAATTAGATCGGCATCTTTCACATAAAAAGCATGGTCTGACAACTAGAGATGCAGGACCCGTCCATCCGTGCTCAGAAGCTGATATTGCCATTTGCAAAGCATGACAGGTGTGGATCATTCCATAATTTGGTAAAAGGAGCTCATTGTGAAGGTGTTTTGCCAGGCAGATGTTAGTTAATAGACGTACATAAGATTCGCTATTTAACTGTTTATAACTATGCAAAGTTTGGCGCGGCTTCTCTGCGCCGTGCAAAAATCATTCTAGGAAAAACTTTCGTAACAGTCGAATCTACCCCACCCGAACGCGTGTTGGTCATGTGTTGTGCTGTGTTGGTCGTGTTGCGAACGAGGCATGGTCAGAAAAAACGGTAGATAGGTGTGCATCTAAAAATATAGATGTACTCACAGATGTATATATATATATATATATATATATATATATATATATATATATATATATATACATATACATATACATATGCATATATTGGCAGAATCCTTACTTTTATGCTCGTTTGTTTAAAAATGACCGCTGACTCAGCATTCACAAGCTCTTTATGCATCTTTTGTGTTTCCGGGCTTTTGACTCAGAATCATCGTTTAGATCCAGGACCTGTCTTTACATTCATACGTTTCGAGATCTTTTCTCGTTGTTGGAGAAGTATGAATGGCGCAAGAAATAAGTTTTGAGTTTTTAAGGATGAACATTTTGCATTACTGTTTAAAATACATTTTAGGACCGAGAAGACAAATAAAAAACACAGCCAATCGAAGTAAGACATCATCCTATCATCACCTTGATACATACAAAATACATCCATAACGGAAACATTTCAAAGACCCGAAAACATTGCCACAATCACCTTAATGGTACAGACCGCACATCACCTAGTATCTTAAAGGTTGTGAAAGAGCTTGTTTAAGCACCGTCATGATGTCATTAGGCACTTAACACGACACGCGGACTAACAACGGACAGTGCTTAAACGCTGACAGTGAGAGTCCTCGACCCTACAAAATCTACACCATAGAGTCGTTCCTTAGACGTGCGTTTAAGCAGTGTTCTGATGGGACAGGACTGCATTCGGAATTGGTAGGAAACGGGCAGATCTTGGTGAGCAACAGGTTTTCAAAATCCGACCTCGAAAACGAAATGCAACGTATAACGAGTCACTTTGGTAGCAAACCCAGACAACACAAACAACCAATCGCCAACTGTGTCATCAAAATCAAATGACCTCTGCCCACAAACAAGACGGAAAAGCTCTTCGGAAAATCATCTCTCGACATGTAAAAGACAAGAACGACCACAAAATAGACCTTGTCATATATTGTCGCAATAGGAAAACCTCCAGCTTTCTCATGAGAAATAGCTTAGACCAACCCGACAAAGTAAAATGAGCCGACGTAATGTATCAATTCAAATGCAATATCGAACTTGCAAACTTTGCTCCATACACTTCATCGTTGTGACCACAACGACACTCTCATAGCGCCTAACAATGCACTTCCGTGACGAGGCACCTCAGGACACATGCGACACAAACATGACAGTGCATTGACATGGGAAAACTGTCAGACAACACTGACGTTCTTCAGACGTGCAACGGCAAAAGACGCTTCCAAATTGAGGAAAATATAGTTAGCAACGAATTCGAAAATATATTTAGTAACGGAGTAATAGTAAGATTCTGTCAAACTATTCGTTTTCTCAGCTTGTCTTCTCCAAACCGAAAGATGCTTTCCAATAGCAATGCACAATTTTCATCTTTGAAAACACAAAACTTATTTATTGTGCCATTCAGTCTTCTTCGACAAAGAAACAGAGTTTCTGGGCTTTTGACGATAAAAGTCAACAGCCCGGAAACTCGAACGATGCATAAAAAAGCTCGTCAGTTCTGAACCAGCGTTGAAAGATATCTTGTTCTGGGAGTTTTGCCACGCCTTTGTGTTTCGTCACGCTCTTTCCGTGCACATACAGAGAAAATATTCATCTATCAGCTTAGTTCCTTTCATTAAAGACCGGTCATCCATGGTCAAATGCTACGGAAGATGTAACAGAAATCCTGGTGTTTTGATGTTCGTCCTGGATCTGCGTTCGACACAGAATTTCACAAAAGTTGGTAGGCGTCCCGGAGACTGACTGCAAGTTGTTCACTCGAACGTCAGACATGTGATTAGAGTTAGTGCCATGTCGGGTATTTTGACAATCTGCCGAAACCATTCACCGTTGTGATGGACAATGTTTTAGATGTAATCAGAACACTACTCTTGTTTCACCAGCATACGGCAGCAACACCAGCATGAGCATAATTTGCACCAGTACCAGCACATAAGTGACTAATTCTAACATCTGAGTGTTGCAATTTTTGAGCATCGAAGGCGAAAACGGCACGTTTCGATGATTTGACACAAAACGCACAAATTAGCTATAGAAACTGATCAGTGCGTTTTGCAAGTCCGCAATGTACATTCTTTATGCAGGAGACACATCCTACAAAAAATGCATAGGCCCTAGCCAACACTGATGTCACACGACCTATTGCAAATGTCGTCATTTAGAATTTCGAAGCATTGCCGCTGTCTAGTTGAATTTTTCACAACCGAACTTACACTGCGGCAAAACATCGTTTAACGGCCTCCGTCAAAATGGCTGAATGGGGCTATCGAGCTGGTATTATATCGTTTGGTTTAAGGTGAAATCCACCCATTGGTAGATATGTTAAGCTAACGTGCATCCGCCAAACAACATCTGAAGGTGATCAGAAGTTAGCTTTGAGAGTAGCTCATGAGGTGGAACAGGCTAACCGATGAACATCTCAATTTAAAGGAATGTAGTCACACGTATCATACGTAAGGACACCGGCACTTCCAGCGAAAAGGAAATATTCTGGCGTAGTGATGGCTGCAGTCGCTTGCGTCAGTTGAAAAGGTACGCAACCAGGCAAATCATATTCCCTGTCGTAGAAGAGAAAGGCAGGCCGCTGAAACACTGTCAGTGTGAGATGACTTGCTCTTCCCTCGGCCGCTCTTCAGAGGACCTGTTTCTGCTCTTTGACCCTTCGCTCCCCGGTCAATGTGACGCCGTCTGCACCTCGAACTAGGCTATGCGCACGTGTCCTTTCTCCTTCGATACGTGTTCGCTGGAGGAGGCGCCACCCGCTTGATCTCGAGCGCTGCACGGGCCGCTGCATCGGACCGGGATCCGGTAACAAGGTGCACAGTTCGCGTCAGATCCTTCCGCGAAGTCCAACCGGTTCTCGTCAGGTCGCCGGGGCTCGCCGACCACCGTTGCGTCAGGGCGTGACGTCACTAGCCCCAGAGCCGGAAGGCCCCTACGTGGATTCAAGTCAGAGAAATTATGTCACCTGCACAGACACGAGTTCCGGACAAGTGGCTGTGGCTGGACCTACGCTTTCCGTCTCTCAGTAAGCTGCAGATAACGGGCAAACCCGGTCTCCTTCCAAGTAGCGTGACGTAATCACAGCGTGAAGGTCCCTCTTCACAGCAAAACTTAATAGCAGGAGACTTCAAACTGAAAGTGCTTCGTTGGTGATGACACGAAAGTGGGCAATCATTGTTGCGCAATGTGCTGAGCAAAACCGAGCTATCATTTATGCGCAAACTAAGTGGTTACAGGGCAGCTTTTCACCGAGGCCGCCCGACCTGTGCTGATCGGGTCGGGTGACGTTTAGTTGAGCTGCTGTCTGTCTGTCACGCGGGCCTTCTCACACGCACCACTGCACAGCGCCCATAAAGGAAGCATGTCATGCAACTGTACCGCGCATAAAGGGCCTCCAGAATGCATTATGTTACCAGTCCGACGTAACGCAACTTACTGACTCGCATCCACACAAATTGCGTACCCTGATGGTGACACAATATTCAGATACATCCAAACATTGGCGCCGGCTGCCGTTCGCCGGCGGCCCGCGGACGTGCTGGCAATGTCTCAGTCGGGCATCCCGCGTACCGCCCTTTGATGCACGTGGCAGGTGACAGCTGGCCACAGCACGGAGTCGGCGCTGCTTCTGTCGCCTCCTAGACATATTTTAAGGCGCCTTCGAGCACGGAGGATGCACTTAGACCTGTATTGCCAGATACCAATGATAGCACCAGGCGCGTAAGAGAATATCGAACAGTGACAGCAGGACGGTGGATCTCTTGCAGTTTTCCAGCAGCTGCATAGCTATCTTCGCCCTTTTCAACGTGTTCAGTTCTTGAAGAACCCAGAGGCCACGCAGTGAGGGTGTTTGGTGCGCAGGTGCCTGGCCGACGGTGACTGACGCAATCGTGGCTCCAATCTTGAAATGCCACAAAATGGAACATTTTCCCTACTGCTTTCCCAGAGCCCAAGAGGTCTTTTTTGGGTAGACCAATCTGTCACTGCTTGGTGGTAACACCCCATCCGAAGTCCCACTGCCTATTTCACAATTGCATTTGCACATTGTCGCCAATAATTTACACAATCATTTCCAAGGAAGCTTTTGATGACTTTGGGCGAACCAGTAGTTCCTTACTTCAAGAGGAACAACGCATAAACTTGCATTGCGGCCTGTATGAAAGGAAATTAAGCAATTTAAAACACTCGAATTCTTTGGCTGCGCCGGACAGCATAAGCCAACTCGGCGTAGCTCTTTGCCTGGCCTTCAGCTGTAGGTAAGTTCCCACAGCCCCAGGTATGACTTCAGGCTGCCGGGGAAGAAAAAGAAAAACGTAAACCAAACGCTTCAAGAATCTTAGGCAAAGCACATGAAGACCCGAAGCGAAGGAAAAATCGGTCACAGGCAATGAACATGCTGAGAAAAAGGCTAACCGTGCCAGAGGGCTAAAGGGGAAAGGGCTTGGCCCTCTTGGCACGCCTAGTGCTCCCTGCAGCATCGCTGCAGCACACCTGGAAAGAGCTAGCAAAACCTGTCGTCGTTTTCCCCGCAGAGAAATAAAAAAACGACGTGAAGTGATCCGCATTCGCGCCGGTTCCCCTTATGGCCTCGATCCTACTTTGTACAAGAGGCTCAGTCTTCAGACATCCTTTTGCGGCAATCTCAGAGTTCGACTTAAGTCCGCATCAATCTTTTCCTCACCGTACCCGCTCAGGATGGTTTTACCAGGGCGTCGCACGTGATAAATGCCTTAGTGAAGTGTTAAGCTCGCTTTTGAGAGGGTAAATACAGCCGAAGTAAAAGCATTCACTCAGTTCTCACTTCCATTCCACTCGAGCTCCTACTTCCATTCCAACGAAACAGCGGGACGGACAACAGTTGAACTGAGCCCTGCAGGAGCCCATTAGCACGTGGCTTAGCACGTGGCTTTAGCTACGCCGTCGCCTATTCTGAAAATGAACGTAGCCCCGAGTACACCGTGCTGCACTCTAGGCCCTTTGTGGTGAGAAGTCCCCACGATTCAAAAGACAGCCGCGCCCGCAAGCTCACGGAGTCCGATCGACTTCAGCCTCCCAGCGTCGTGCGGCGTCGTCCCCCCCCCCCCCCTCCCGCCTCACATGTGATGCGGCGCTCCCTGTTCAGACTCCCAGCATCATTCTGTTACAGCCCGCCTCCGGGCGGACCGCTACTGCCTCTCCTGTCTGTGCACGGCTGCCACCGGCTGTGATGTCAAGGCCGCCTGTCAGCAGAACGACCCGCTAGACATTTGCGGCCCGTTCTACATGTCGGAGCCCTACTGGGTGGACGCCAACGTCACTGCCCTAGATGCCTACGCCGCTTATGGTCAGTGCTCTGACTCTGGATCAGCGTGCCTCCGGAGTCTTCGTCCATTGCTGAACTCACGTCAAGACATAACATTCCATTTTCTCTCGATTGTGAAAGCGAAACGTGATGTTGAAAAACCTACACGATACGACCCGTGGGTTGTATCGTGTAGTGTTCCGTTGAATCGCGTATCAGACTATTATGTACCGCTGTAGCGCGTATGGTGTACTGCTGTTGGTCCGCTCCGATCCGCGCCCCACGATCAGCTGTGGTGCGCAGGACAAGTAGCGCTATCGCCCAATACTGGCAGCCTCCTCATGCGACTGCATGTGTGGAGATTGTAATACCCATCACATTGCTAGTGAGGTAGCCTGCTGCTCCCCGTTTGTTCACACAGTTTTGCTATGTATTGATCCTTCCTGGCGGGGAGGTTGTCTTTCTACACATTCAAAGCGTGTTGGGATTGTCACAGTCTGCTGCTGTGACGTCTGGCTACCCACACCCGCTGCCATAAAAGAAACCTCAGAATTCCTGCGGGTTTCTGGGGCGGGGAGGTCTCGGGGGGGGGGGGGGGGGGTTCGGTGCACGAAAAACAGTTGCCTAAAAATCAGATTCTTCAGCCGTTGTCATTTTGTTTCGTAATTATGAACACATTTTTGGTGGTTCTTATCAAAGTGTTAAGAGGCCGAGACAAACTTTGGAGAAGGAAGCCTGCGCCCTACAAGGAGTAGCACCACTCCACCCCATACCGCTGCTCTACGCCGCGGAGCTCAGAGCACGGGCGTCAGACTGCCATCCTGACCTGAGTCTGCACTCCGTTCCAGAGTTTAAAGAGTGCGCAACGGACACGGAGTGTGCGGGTGCAGCGGTGGCGTCCTACATGCACAACTTCGCCCGGGTGAGCTCGACAGCTCCTGGTAGGCGTGACGTTATTGGGCGGGCGTAACGACGCCGGGTCGGTCTCAGTCGCAGGGTAGGCTCCATCTGCGGCCGCACTACCGAGCGTCGGACATCGGACCTTTCCACTCGGATCAGTGCCACGCTGCCGTCAACACGGAGAATGACGGAATCACGTGCCAGCTGACGATGTGCTATAAGTACCCGATGGTCGCGCCGTCCAACGGCGACTGCATTGCGGGAATTCATGCGTGCATGCGTGCATGTATCCTTGGGTGAGAGTAGTAAGCAGACTTTGGTATGGGCATTATACCGTTGACTCTAGTTAGATCATGATTGTACTGCAAAGCAAAAGACCTTACTCGCCGCAAGAGATAGATGGACAATAATTCTTAATTTTCGAAATATCCTGTCGCTTAGAATTTGTGTTAGACCGAAGCTTGCATAGCACTGCCAACTTTGATGTTCTACAAATCTAGGTGAAGTGCATCTGCGGTGCAACTTTCCGAAAATGTTTACATCACACATCTTGCACTGCACTCGGGAAAATGCCCGCAAGCTACTCGCATCGCACATTTCGAAAACTGTGATCCTCAAAAACGTGCTTGCACCCGACCAATCGGATACGAGCAAGCATTCAATGCAGGCAACTAAGTGCGATGCCATCCTGATGGTAATCGCGGTCATGAGGGTTAAGTATTATGTCGCGCTATGACCACGTAGAAATGACATGCGTCGTTTTGTGACCTTATACTTTTGGCTCAGAAAAGGCGCATTGTCATCGACGGGGTCATAGCCCCTGAGTCATGTATCTGGTAATTTACTTGTCCCAATACACAACAAACGGCACGCCTGTGTATACGTTGATCCAACACGCAAAGCGCTCAAAATTGAGGCATGTTGTTTACAGTAACTCAAAACACAAAAAAGACGACAATGGGTATGCGCAAGACGCAGCAGAAATGTACACAAAAAGTGGGAGCGGTTTGCGCGTGGGACACAACTACTGGTTAAGTGGTCCGCTGGTATCCAGGAACCACCAGCGATCAGCGCTGCCGGCAGCGCTGGCAACGCACAGGTCTCTGAGAACCAATTTTCCTCCAATTGTTATTGAAGACGTACCCTTGCCTCCTTCCATTCACAAAACATGTCCGCCCATCGCTTGCCTCGAAAAGGGAGAGCCTCATGGCAGCCCGTGAGCTGACAGAACATCCAGATGTGAGGCATACAACCATCTCCCGGCATCTCATGAGGTGCACACCCTTTTGAAGTGTTTCAGTTTACTCGTAGCCATAACCCTAGTGGTTCACGCTACCGTTCAGATCAAAGTGGGCTTTACCTGGCTGTGAAATCTGCTACAGCAGGGGAGCTTCCCTCGTCGTGGCGAAGCAATGCCAATATTTTCTTGAAGCCCCAGTTAGCGACAAATTTGATGTTAACGGCCAGCACATGATCGCTCAAATCATTCTGAAAAATGTCTGCCGGGATGCGCATACACCAAGTTTTCTTCCTTTTGCTTCACTAAATGGAAGTCTAAAAGTAGATGCGTACTTATGACACAACCGGCACTTCTCTGCACGTGCTAAGGACATGAACTCCAGCTGTAATCACCATCCAGAGCAAACTTTGCTGGTGAACATTAAAAGGGATCAGAGCAATACTGAACTCAACCTTAGGCACCCTGAAACCGTAAACAATGACATCCTTAAGCATACAGTGACGCTTCTGGCATTTCCACGTGGACCATGCCTCGTGTCATAGCTGTTAATATCTCATTTCTTTAACAGCAGTTACTCGGCCAAGATAGCGTAGCCATGCAGTTTATGCATTTCCTGATTGTTGTAACAAGTACGACCATTACCGAACTTTCACGTGCCTCGCATCAGTCGCTGAGATGTGTACTCTTGGCAGCCGTCGGTCAGCGCACTGATGATCATGGCATAAATCGTCTGCCTGGCCGCCCCACAGGACTGCGACGGGGACGGACAGGTGACCTGCAAGGACTTCGGCCTGATGCACTACCTGGGCTACAGCTCGTGTGCAGACGAGGACTTAGTGCAGTCCGGCTTGAGCAGCCCCTTCTACAGCGCGCACGTCACCTGCTTGGAGAGAATGGCCGGCCTGCTGGCGCGTGAAGACTTCACCACGGCGCCGGGGTACGCTCCGCTCGTGTGAAACCCTCACCCGGCAGAGACCAGGGCGGCGTAGCGCAGCGTGCGGCAGAGCAGAGCAGGACAGATCACGACAGAGCGCAGAAGAGGAGAGCAGAGCAGAGGATAACTGAGTCGAATAGAGCACGCCAGAACGAAACCATTCACATCACAGTAGTTAGAGCAGAACGGCAGGGAGATCTGTGCTGGCTAGTGTCAGAGTGGGGCGGAAAAAGAACAGAGCTGGGTTGAAAAGCAGGGCGGAGAATGACAGAATGGAGTAGAGCAATTCAGAGTGGAGCAGACCAGTGGCGTGGGGCAAGCGGTGCCGATGGGAGATGAGTAGTGCAATGTGTTCGGGTGTTTGAGGCGGATGGGCGGGAGGCTCGTGGCGGCCGAGCGCGAGATTCACGGCATCCGAGGAGAAGGTCCATGGTTCTCGAGGCCGCCTGCCAGTCGTGCAGCACGCCTGGCCATTCCTCGCTGCCCAACGGGGCCGACCGTCGGACAAGGCCAGTGCAGGGGTGCGGATGCAGCCCGGAGGCAGGTCCAGAGCCGGCCACCAGCCGCCGTCAGAGGCGCCATGTGCGCCGCGCTCTGCCACCGTTCAGCGGTGCAGTTCGGGGTCGGCCGAGGTGAAGGATGCACTAGCTGTCACACTCTGGTAGAGGCTTCAGATCTGACGCAAGATGCGTCCCCCGCGTCAGATGATAGGTTTGGATGGCCGCTGCACCATCTGGCCAGCGGCATCAGTTCCGGTGGGCTTGATCTCTGTTGCATTGTCTTGATCTCTGTCGCTCTCTCGGTTGCAAATAAATGATGTCATGATCCCCTCCGTTTGGGATGCAGAACCCAACGTCCACGTTAAAAACAGGTGTTACACATTTGTATGGGATTTTGACTGAAGTAGCCATTTTAGGGATCATTCAGTGCAGTTCACAGTCATACCCCTTTTAAGCTCTAAACCTTGTTGTTTCTGAGCTTGACGCTCGCCAGCTTATGCAGACTACTTCAGGCTCACTCAGACATGCATGATGCCGTAGAACGACCTGCAAATAATGCCACACCTTACTGGCCACGACGAACCCAAGGCTAAGACAGAAATGATCGCCAAACTGTTCGTGTCTGGAATACGTCTGCGTGATTTCTGGCATCAACATACTTCAGTTGGCGCTTAAGCGATGTAGTACCTATAGTACCTTCGAACACATTTAGTTTGGCCTTTTAAATTATAACCCTTTCGACCAGTACTAACCATTTCAGGGCTATCGGATGAAGGAGAATGGATAACGGTGGGACAGGCCCACATGCGTCTGGGGACACAACCACCGAGACTAAGTCCGCGCAGGGATCCCCATGCGGGTTGTGCGCTAGGTGCTCGGACAAGAGTCCCCACCAGGGGCCCTTCGGCCTGCTCGTGGCTGGCGCAACCCGCTGAGGGCAAACGGGGTGTCGCGAGGATGCAAGTAAAGCAGGAAATACGATGAATGAGCCTACGATCGAACACGAACATCGTTTTGTGCTAAACGATACGGGATGTTTGGCATTTGAATTAGTTATGACGGAAATAAGACTGCGAATCAAATAAATTGAGAACTGCGCATCACCTGACCATGTGAATGTAACTAAAAATAGAAATCCATCAACAAAAAGACAAGAAGACCTCGGGGAAGGGCCAAAATGCACGCACAAAGCGGTGTTTGAGTTCTGCATCCACGCACCGATCAACACGTCACTTCCTCATAGGTTGAACTACAACGAGCGAGTTAGCCCGTCTGCTACGGTGGAATTTGCATGGTCAGCCTGGCGGCGACCCTGACGTTATACAAACGTTGCGTGACATCATAAAACGACAACATATTGGCTAAACTATGTACTAAATATTCATAATAGTGATTTCTAGAGCAGTCTTTTGTACTTAAATCATACCAACAGTTACAAGCTGGCTTATTCCATGTTGTCTGATGCTTACTACAGCGATTTCAGACGCAGAACATTCAATTTCAACGCATCGTTTTACGTAGCACGTCAACGCACCCTCAGTGGATGTCGCTTTCTTACCTTTTAGCTACGCACCGTTGTGGGACCCTGTAATGGAGGGCTGGATATCGCGGCGGTCACATTAACACGACCATGGTAGCTTTCAGCGACTGTGGCTGTTTGATCCTAATTAATGCTAAACATGTACAGTGTGAACTGAAAGTCGAACCCAGGCCTTCCAATTGGAATTCTTATCGTCGTCTTCAACGTAACTATTCCGCCGCTCCAGCAAAAGCCAAGACACTTTAAGGTTGCGTCGAAAATTATGATATATGCTCCTTAGTGATGGGGTGGTTGTGAGGACAACTAACAGGATCAGTACGACTGAAAACAGTATGTCCCACTGTTCTTTATTTCAAGTATATCGACATAGGTTTAGACAGTCGTCTCACGTTTCATCCAACTACTGAAGACCTCCGACCAGCTTAGTTTCATTAAAATGCGCTTCATGGCAAAGCAGGGGTGCTGAACCGCGCACATTTCAAACCCTTAATACCAGACCGGTTCGATCAATTCTGGATTTCCATGCGGTTGTGTTCGCTGGAACACACACACAGACATACACCCGTACCCATCCCACCACTTTTCTCTCGGCGAGACAGTTCCGCCCCTTGTGTTTTCCCGACGGTACAGCTCCACGCCGCTGGAAAGAATAAAGAATTCCTATAGAATACTTCCGCACCACCAAACAAAACGTCACCGACTTGGAAATTTTCTCGTACTTCAATCAGGTCCACGCCAAAGACATCAGTCATAATTTTACTACTCTGACGGCTTGAATCAGAACATGGGCACTGGAGCCACCCAACAACTTTTCCTTTTCTTTGCCATTTCGCTTTTCCGATTTGCACTGTTTTACCGTTGTGCTGGTTATAGGTACCACCCTTCATCACACATGAAACCGACAAATTTTTTAAGCTATCATATGCAATGATTTACTTTCTTCACTTGATGCTCGCCGCTAAGCATAACTTTTGCAGTCCCCTTATCACCCAAATTCGGGAAACTTTCGCTTCCCTTTCTCCATTTATTTCGGCTGTATCTCCTCTACCCTCCTAATAACCTTGCCTGTCTAGTGTCCAGCATCCTAGCTCATATCCAACCTTCTTTTAGAAATTTCGTACAACGAGAATATGACGTAATTTTACATACCCAATCCCATGTGATCAAACCGTCTCCGGAACACTGACCCTCACACATTTTGGCCTTCTCTGTGATACATTCGACCTGAATCGTGTTAGGGTCGCTCTACCTTCAGAGGCATGACGGCTTGGAACGGCGTTTCCCAGAAGCACAGTTGGCTCGCGTTCGTGTTTGATGAAATGGGCAAGGAAAGACATTCTGAAGAGGGGGGCATGAACCTAAGCAACTTTGGGGAAATGTTCAGGACCGTTTTATGAAATGCTGCTTAGGGGAGCGCTTCTGTTTTGTTTCACATCGATGGGAATGCATGTGTTTTATCGTCGAAAACTTCCGTGGGAACGGCATGTGGTGCCACATATATCGTGGACACTTTAAGCTTGCAAATATACAAAATCATCAAAACATGAACGAAGCACGTCATGATAAATTATGCGCGGCTTTAATTTTTCAGGAAGCGGAAGAAGTGCTAGTACTCCCGTTCAGTTTCGCAAAAGGTGCGTTTATGAGAACCTGATATAAACTGCCAGGCTTCCATTTGTGATTGCTGTGGCTACGCACATCAGCTGTAAAAACCATGTAGAAAGTGTTTGATATACATACCTATGTATATCTTTGTATATGATATATATGCATATATACATAATATATGCATATAAGAAATGTAGATATGCATATATATATATATATATATATATATATATATATATATATATATATACATACTAACAATGGATAACAGGACACCAGGACCCAAGTGAACGATATCCGAGAAAGTTTTGCGAACCTGTCACGTAATGGTGGCTTTCGAGACTCTGACTGTACCCAATCATTTTGAGAAATTAACTGTCATAGCTCCTATTATGCTGTCTCGCCAGTGTTTCAGTGAGAGTATTCCAGGTTTTATGAGGTTTTTGAGCTTGTTTTTCGAGGGCACCAACTGAAGCCAGCAAAACTCGCACAATTTTCATGATTTATTTCATTGCTTCATACTTTTTCAACAGTTCAGTCCGACTCTAAATGTCGTCATCACCAGCTGGGTCATGGATACCCAAATGGACATCCATGAAAAAGCGCGTCAAATTGACAAATAAGCCGAAAGGCAAAGCATATACATCCGCGCATGGATATTCGCCTCGGGAAACGGCGGATCTAAGTGGTTAACTGGGGCGCCGTTGTGTTCAACAAAATCCTTTTTGAGCATTTAAAGTTAATGAGCATTGACTTTGTGAGTGAATGAGCATGCTTCAGTGGACAGCAGCATCTGTAAGGTATCCGAATAATACACTTCTTGTGGATAGATGATATGCTGTAGTGTGATCTCGAATGGTATAATTGGTGTAGGTGTACTTTCCTACCTAATAATAGAAAAAACCATTGCACCCCCATTCGTCGTGTTTAAGGCGGCATATATCGTAAATAATCTCAAAACAGGTAGAATCATGCTGCCTTCGAATATCAATAACTTCGATGGCGGGCTCCCGAGCGCCGCGCGCACCGCACCGCCTGCACTCCCAGCGCCGTTTCTGCGTTGTCGTTGCGTAAATACAATATTTCTGCTTACCAAGAACTCTACAAAATGTACGGGACCCGCCGGTGTCGCGGGTGCTGTGTGTGTGCGGCGCTCGAGAGCTCGCCATCGTAATTATAAAAAATCTGAAGGTAAGAGCACGAATCTACCTGTTTTGTGATTATTTACGATATGTCCCGCCTTAAACACGACGAATGGTGTACAATGATTTTTTCTAACGTTAGGTAGGAAAGTACACCCTGACCATATAATTTGTTAATTAATTTGTTTCCAGGACAAAAACATAGTGCTTAAGATTATACCTACCATTATGATTTTTCCTGACTGCTGCCTGTGTAAGCAGTGGGGGAAATGGTTGAAAATTATGGTAACATTTTCTAACATTAGTGTAGAGAAGAAATAAATCTGAAAAATTGTTTGACTATGCTGGATGCCTTTAAACTGTTGATGTGCTCTGCATGACACATTTTCTGAATGTTAACACCATTTACTGTTAAAAGGACTTATTAAGCATTTGGCTTGAAATTATCAACATTAAAAGTGTAACAATGCATCCCCTTAAAACATTGGCTCTATGTGTAGAGATATGCACAATACAAACTCAGGGCATTCAGATTGTTGGCACGTCCGCTGAAATTCTTGTGATAAGCTTTGCTGAATGAGTTTGATATAACATGTGTTTTTACAGTTTGAGTATGCTGTCTGCCATGTAATTTTGTTACATCATAACCATCAGTAAATTGCTGCCCATATGATTTTGTTTGAGTATAAAATGCAGGCAGTCCAGTAAATGACCACAGTATTACATGTGTAATATTTTGGAGATATGACAGGGCATATGCCCAAATATACAATCCATATTTTGCTGTATTTTCTGTATTTTCTCTATTGTATTATCCTAGCAGATGTGTCATTCTTACACTGATAATGCTAAACCTATAAGTGATGTTGTTGTCATGCTGGGGCTGTTCCCTTTGTCAGTGATGGCCACAACATATATCAGTGCAATTCAGTTGTTTTACAGATTCCACCAGTTGCTGTGACTGGTAGTTTTGGCCAGATATATCTAGTTGGTAAGAACCAGCTTGCACAAACTGTTTCAGCTTGTTATGTCCAGCCCAGATTCTGGCATTGGATGCATTTGGTCTTCTGATATTCTGGCCAATGCTTATGATTTGTTTGGCCGTTTTTTCTTCCCCTGGTCGCCCAGTGTTACCAAATAGTTCAGCAAGGAGACTTATGAATCATATTATCTGGTATGCAACCACTCCCTTTCATCATGGCAGTTACTGGTTGTGAGTGCCCAAAGCTGAGATGATTAAGCTAGAGCATGATATGCTAGGATGAGATGGTAAGGCCAGGGCTAAGGATGACAAGACATAAATGCATACTAAATTTTTCCTGCTGTGGGGAGTGATTGAGCATCTTTAAAAAATGCAGGAGCATGGTTAAAAACATGCTACATCTGATTTCAATGTCAGCCAGTAGAATTCCTGCTATATGTAAAAAGTGGGTGTAAAATGCATGGTTCAACATGGCATCCCTGGTTATTTCCCATGAACAGAACATTGTTCTAATGGGCGGTGCATACATAAAATCCCCTCCTGCGCGCCATACCGAGGTGCCAAGTCGCGGGCGTTCCCGCGTACCACAGCTCAGCCAGCTGAAACATTCTGATGTGCCAGCTGCTTTTTCCATACATTATGACCGTGACCATGTTAATTGTGAATGTGCGAATGCACGTCTCTGTTATGTGCAGTGTCCACTGGGCTGGATTCATGGCATCCACTATTTGCATGAATTCTCAATAAAGGAACGGGCATGTACATGAAACGAAAATATGAGATATGCAATAATATGCGGCACAACCCAGTCACAGATCTATCACTTCCACGGCAGGTAACCCTGTGACGGGCACCAGTGTGGGATCCAGGCACCATCGGCGTCCTCTGCGGGCTGGCGGCGCGCTCCAGTGATGGCGGCGGCCCCGCTTGACACGGCTGGCCGCGTGCTGGACCGGCGGGCGGCTGCCGAGCTGGGGCCGCTGGTAGCGCGGCTGCCTGCTGGCGCCGCCCTGGTGCTGGCACCGGACCCCAGCGCCGCCGACTACCTGCCGTTGACAGCGCCGCGATCCTGCGCGCTCTGCGGCCAGCGTGACCCCGCCCAGCCGTGGGACCTGCACGCGTCCGTCACCAACCTGTCGCGGACCCCGCTGGCGACGCTGTTGCGCCGACTGTGCGCCGACGAGCTGGAGGAGGACGCCGAGCAGGCGTGCGACAGCTGCGCCGTGCTGCTCAACACAGTGGATGAACTGGAAGTGGGTCTGGCGCAGCTGCTGGAGGACGTGCGGCGACGGCGGGCGCGCCGCCGGCCGGCCCAGCTCAGCCTGGCCGCCGCAGCGCCCGAGCCGGCCGGCAGGCGGCAACACGTCCGGTTGGTGCCCATCCACACCGAGGTGCTGCTGCACCCGCCGGCGGACGCCGCCAGCGAGCCGGCCGAGCCCGCTGCGTCGCCATCCGACGCCGAAGCGGACGCCCCGCGCGCGTCCGACGTCGCCGTCTCAGCGTCCGAGGCGGCCGACGGCTCAGACGCCGCCGGCGCCAAGCCGCGGGCCGCGCGGCGCAACCGGCGGCGCGTGGGCCAGTTCGCGCACGTGATACTGAGCGAGCTGACAGAGGTGCGGCGGCAGTCTCGCTGTCTGCTGTGCGGCGTGCGAGAGACGGGCAATGCCGAGTTGCGCCGGCACTACCTGCAGCACCACCGCGAGCGGCCCTACACCTGCCCGGCGCCGCACTGTGGCAAGCCGCTAGCCGGCAAGGCTGAGCTGGAAAAACACTGGGGCTACCACCTGAACGACAAGCCGTTCCAGTGCGACGAGTGCCCGAAACGATTCGCGTGGCTGAAAAGGCTCGAGGAGCACCAGCACGTGCACCGCGGCACCAAGCCGCACGCCTGCCAGGAGTGCGGCAAGGAGTTCCGGCAGCGCTCCAGCCTTAAGTATCACGTGCAGATCCGGCACGAGCGTCGCTTTCCGTTCGCGTGCGCCGCCTGTCCGAAAGTGTTCGCCACGGAGCGGCAGCGGACAAAGCACACGCGAATGCACACGGGCGAGCGGCCGCACGCCTGCTCGCGCTGCCCCAAGGCGTTCACGCAGCGCGCGGTGCTGCGGATGCACGCGCGCACGGTGCACAGGGACGGGACGTGCAGCGGCGGCGAGGCGGACGATGGCCAGGTCGTCACAGGCCCGGCGCGCGCGGCCGGCGCCCAGCCGACGGACGACAGCGCCGTGATCGTCGAGGAGCTGAACGTCGCACTCAATACCGACACGGGGCACGGCCCGCTGTGAGAGGGACTGCCCCGCCACGCGACCGTTGGAAACCGTCAGGGAGCCATCTCAGGGCAGGCCGAGCTCGGCGGTGGCGGCGGCGGACTGCTGGCGTGCACCACGTTTCGGCGGGGATGGGGCTGGACCTTTGCAGGCGTGGACGGGGCGAGGAGGAGGGGGGGGGGGAGGGGGGGGGGGGGGGCAGCAACAGTGATGCGTGGCGCAGTCTGCTGTAAACGACATGCTGAGTTAGGCGAACTGGGTCGAAGCCTTTGTGCGGATCACAGCTATCTGGCGCCCGGTCTGCCAGCTGTGCCGTGTGTGAATGGCGCTAGCCGCGGTCCTGGTGCCAGAGAAGGGGCGTGTATGTTGCTCATGTCACCAGCAAATCATCAAGCCAGATGATGGCTGATGATTGACTAGTTGTTGAAAAACGGCTTATTTCATGATACGGAGTTACAAGTTTGTAATCTCAGTTGCGCACCGCATTGTACCGACTGAACCGATGAGTGTAAGGCATCCTAATTATACCTTGAATATCACTTCACGGTGGTGCCCCTATCAGGACAAAATGTTTTATCATGCAGGCTGTAGCAAGCTGTATTGAGGAGTGGGTATGGAAAAGCATTACCGCATTCGTTGGCCATGGGTTGGCACGTGGGTTGTCACGACGCTGACCTGCCGCCGAAGTCTGACAGGAGCACGCTCCGGGTCAGCCTTGGGCGCTGGTGAACCGGCTCACTAGTCTTCCCCGGAGCTTGTCGTGGATACCGCTAACCGCTTGTTCTATTTGCATTGTTTGCTCGTGCTTTTACTCCTAACAGACGTATACACTGGGATGAGAGGCGGAGTCGTAAGTTCGAAACAATACATGGTCGGCTCACGAAAAAACAAACATGTACTTTCTGGAACAACGTATATCACTAACATGTCAGCATCGGGATGGCGTCAACTCACCCGCGCCTTGTTGAGCCGGAATGGCTCGGTCTTCCGGCCAGCTGTGCCCAAGTCGTCAGCCAGCACAAAGCAGATTAAATGGACACCTGTATTCGGCAGGCTCGCCGCTAATCTCATTGGCAGCAGCGGGCACAACAGATGAGAGCCCAGCAGCCGGTGTAGAAATAGAACAGCCCGGATGCGATCCAGATACGATCCGTCGTTTTCTTTAGGAGATCCAGGTAAGAAGCGCATTAACTTGTTCATTGCTTGATCAGCAGGTAAAGACGTTGCAGAACCGTGTATTGTACACACGATCGTAGAAGTAGCCGTTCAAAAAGTTTGTAAACTGTTAACGTACCGACAATCCCATGCGACGACAGGGCCTTTACATGTCCCTACTCGTTCGTTTCGCGGAGATCCGAATTGAATTGAAGTGAAGTGGAGGTAAGGGTGTGCAAACGACATCATGGCCAAATACAGGCACGTCTTAAAACTCCCGAGTGGCCGGCTGAACATACTTCGCTCAGTAAAAGGGCCAGATTGCCCCTCCCCCTGTGACCTCGGAAGCTAAGATAGCTAGAGACAACAAATTCGCATCACAGGGCCTGTAGGTGAAATCACTGGTGCCAAGTCTAAGGTTCCGAAGCTATGTGTTCAAATATCACCTTGAGGTCAAATCAAGTCAAATAAGGTCAAACGCAAATTGATGTCTCAAGTGTCCTTCCCCCGACCTCCGTGCGCAACTATCGTGAAGCTAGATACCTGTTCTAAGCAAAAGGTTATTGATATCATTGACCCTGTTTGACGTTAACGAGGTCAAGGTGACTACAAACTACGAATTCGTATTTGTATAGGGTTTTCACCTGAAACTGTCATTTGAAGATCACTCGGTGCAGTTCACGGCCCTACCCTTCGCAAGACCTAAACCCCTCTAGTTTTTTAGCTTCGCGCCTGCGAAACTATGCCTACTACTTGGCGAAGACTATTCTAAGGTCACCAAAGTATCCACGAAGGCATGATAGCGTCTTTTCAATCCAGCCATTCCATTAATCATGCGGCGATCAAGGCCAAAAACAACATCAGTGTCGACTCATTCCCATCTAGCGTTCATGAGCACTATTTTCAGACATAACGTCCATCAAGTGGCTCTCAATCAATGTTATGCAAGGTGCTTCGACGCAATTAGACAACGACGTATTGAGAAGTATAGTTACTATCCAGAGAAAAAGGTGTTGTCTTTCCCACTTAAAACTACAACAATGGTTGAAAGTAAGCTTGTTTTATCATATACGATGTTTGCTTCAATATTTTCAAATATAGGGTATTCCCTTTAAGTGAAATTGACTGCTCTAGACAACACCATTTCTATTTTTTGGAAATATGCTCCTCAATGCGTCGTTGTTTGATTGCGTGATCGTAGTTTGCACAAAACTGCTGAGATCCATTTGATTGCCGTTACATCTGGAAATCTTGCTCGCAAACGCCAGATTTGAACGATGCGAGACTTTTTCCTCGGCCTTGATCGCCGCATGGCCAATAGAATAGCAGGATTTGAATAACATTATTGTGACATGAGTGATGAATACCTTAGTAATCTTTAAATAGTCTGCACGAAATAGTTTGCACATCTTCGCGGGCATGCAGCTAAAAAACTAGTGCTGTTCATGTCTTAAAAAGACACGGATGTCGACTGCACAGTGTGATCCTTAAGATGGCCGGTTCAGCTCAAAACCACATGGAAATGTGCAACATTCCCTTTAACCTGCACGTCACTGATACCTCATTATCAATTCCGCTGAAGTCAGTAAACTGACTGGGGGGGGGGGGGGGGGGGGCGACACGCAAGGGCACATACAACTTGATATGCCAAGATAATGAATGTGAAAGTAGAATTACAGCCACAAATCTATAACTCACCTTCAATCACATGGATACCAAATGCTCCCTTGGCTCAACAGTGAAGCTTGTGAGCAAAGGAGTAACAAGTGAAGCTTGGACCATACTGCTTCGCCGCCACCCATGTAGCCAAGCCCAGACTACGGCAGCGCCGGCCAGATTTTCTCCAAACCAATACCAATCAACTGTTGGAATGCAGTTTCATCACCCATTCTGAAACTGACCACATCAAGTCACCATCTTAACCTGCAAAAAACACATGAACCACTTTGGGGCATTGCAGCCAAGTCCAAGCATAGAAACTGCTAAACAGATCGTTTTAAGACTTTTACCAGAAGAAAGAGCACAAACGATTTCGTTCGCCGTTCTGAAACTGGTGATCTTAGGTTCCCATTGTCGCCTGCAAAGACCACATAAGCCCCTTTGGGGCAAGCAGCCAAGTCCAAGCACGGAAACTGCTGAACAGATCTGCTTGCAACCTTTACCCGAAGGTAGAATACATACGATTTTATCAGCTATTCTGGAAGTGGTGACCTTATGTCACCATCTTTACGTTAAAAACCGCATAAACCCTTTTAGGGCATGGCGGCCAAGTCCAAACTCGGAAACCCTCCAACCCATTTGCCTGGAACCTTTAACAGAAGATCGAACACATACACGCGCACGTGCAGGTACAGAAAACACCAAAACATACACACCCGGTCAAACCTTGGCATCCGACGTTTTGGGGTGTGTTCGTAATGCACGCCCTTCAGTACTAGAAGCACATCTGCGTCAACTCGTATAAAATCACGCGTGCCAATGAGATTCGTAAACTGCGACGCAACACATGCCTTGGCCAGGTGATGAAACATCCTAGTCACTATTTTAACAGCTGCTACTGCTACCACCACATCTCCAACAGCTGTTGGAAGCTCCCATCGCTCCTACTAAGTCAGAACGATGTCTTGGGGCGCACGTAAGTAAAGCTCTCCTGTCAATTTTTCCATTTCCATTGCATTTTTGATGTTTTGTTTTGGGACAGTTTGTAACTATGAAGAACGGTTCTTTATTGTATGGTAAATTGGAACCTTAGATTTGAGGGGTCGATGGTGTGGTTTCCTCCCTACCGAACATGGAATTATCAGTGACCCACCAATGTTGGCGCATGAGGGCCTCGGTGCTTGGTTAAAGAACTAATCGCGTCTGATTTTGCATTGATATAACCTGATCACGTCACCGGCCGCTGTAAGCAGATGCTCATAGGATATATGGACTGTGTACAATCCTTGTCGGTCACACGCTCTGTCAACTTTGGCCACCTGGTACATAATCAAATCACGTGATGTCTCAACGATGTGTGAGATGCCGGCCGATGACGGCAACCGTTATCATCATAATAAAGTGGTTAAGTGCTTTCAAATAGGCTGTAATAATGATAAAGTAGAATGATAAAGTAGTTAATTTCGCACCACCAGGTTAGTATATATCTTGGCGCATACAGGTAAAAATACACTACACACACACACACACACACACACACACACACACACACACACACACACACACACACACACACACACACACACACACACACACACACACACACACACACACACACACACACACACACACACACACACACACACACACACACACACACACACACACACACACACACACACACACACACACACACACACACACACGCAAGCACGCACGCACGCACGCATGCACGCACGCACGCACGCACGCACGCACGCACGCACGCACGCACGCACGCACACACACACACACACACACACACACACACACACACACACACATACGCAAACGCGCGCCCCCCGTACGCACGATTGTTCACATAGTTATGAAATCTATGCAACGGACACACGTTTGTCAATAAATCGGGAGAAACCGGTCACGGAACGTTTCTAAGCCAACATTTCCAAAACATTATGGTAATTCAACAGTTCAAGGTAGTGCATGTGGTCACCTGTGAGTAAGTTTATGCAAATCATGAAGCTTAATAGGCCTATGAAAAAATAAAATGTTGCAGATCTATACAGACCCGGACAAGGAAAAGAATTAAAAAATCAAGAATTTAAGCCCCTTTATACTAATGCAAGGCACAAGGCACTATGCTACGGGCTACACGAGACATAGGTGGCTAGGGTGAGAGACTTCGATGCGCTGTATCACATACCAGAAAGCAATTCGCTACAGGACATCAGTATTTAAATCAATCAGCAGACAACTATTCATAGACATATCTTACCTGAACAACAGCACTCCCAATCAGTATTTCAAGATGGTATATGCGAGCTTAAC